TTAATGCACGTATAAAACAAATGCACAGAAATCTGTTATTTTTCTCCAGTAATTAAATAGATTCAACATCTTTCTTCAACAGAATCGCAGACTGCACAGGTGGTACCTTCCCAAAGGAAAGAATACTATAACTTACTAGGATATATACTAGGCTTAATATTTACTGAATACAATAATGGACTTCTATAAATTTAATCAGATGAAAACTTTGGTCATAAGATTCACATAATTATTTATTAAAAGTGAGAAATTTTAAATGAGAATAAGAAAGAAAAGTATTTCCTTGTGCCCCCCTCTCCCTGTTAATGCCCTACATGCCCCCCCTGGCAACACTTTGCTAGACCCGCCCCTGCACAGTTACCAGCTGTCAGCTACCTAAAAAAGGATCCTGGTGTTATTTGTCTCTCAGAAACAGTTCATAACTTCAACTCATCCATGTCACCTAAAAGGTAAACCTGTTTCTCCATCACAGCTCTGATGATTCAGTAAGAACATCTCCTAGGGGCATCTTCATGTTTCCCTCTCACCACATATCCAAACCATCCTGACCAGCAGCTTTACAGCTGTGGCTCCAGCAAACATCAGCTGATATTAGAAAGTAATATTAAATCAATTCTAACATCAGCTGATCAAACGTGCTGCTGTTGTTTAGCGCGACATCCGCTGGTTTCATCTTTCTGGCGCAGAGAGAAAAGCTGATCAGCTGATCACTGATCAGTTTCATGATCGAATTAGCAACTTTCTAGCTGAAGAGGAACGGGGACAAATCGCTTTCCTCTTCACCTCAACTTTAAAGTTCGACCTCCTCGGCTGTAATTGGTCCAGCCCAGAGTCGATCATGACCAACTGGCCAATCCACCACCTTTCATTTATCCTGTTAAAAAAAGAAAAGAAATAAAACCCCATCGGCCCATAAAAACGAAAAATCCCGGTATGACTGGGGACGAGAGGAAAGTGTGTTCTGAAAACTGGCCACTGGGTGTCACTGTTAATTATTTTTAATTGTATTTCTGGAGTAAAACAAGCTGTTACGTGACGTCGTTTTGTTGGAGACTAAGTAACACAAGGCTGGCCGAGCAACCATAGCACAAGAGGCAGGGTACACACAGGACAGCCTGTGACAGAGAAATGTTGCTGCAGTAAATGTAGTAAACTCTTTTTATTAAACCTTTGCTTAAATTGTAAGAAATGTGTAAAATTACAGAAATCTCTCATTTCTTTGGTGTATTATAAATGGCTGTGGGTGAGGCCTTTGTCAGAGAACAAACAAACCACATTTAAAACCCAAAATCATTTTCCTCCTTCACATTTTCCAAAGGGCCTCATGTTTGATACCCCAGGTCTACAGACACCTGTGTGAGCCACGGAGGAGCTCACGGGGAGAAAGAAGCACAAAGAATCCCCATCAAACTAAAATCAGCATGTGATTATGCTGCAAGTATGAATTTATTTATACTTATTGTCTGTCTAAAATGTAAAAATATGCATATAAATCCTTTTCACTCTGCAGATTTTGTGGGTGTGCTCTGATAACTGGCTACAAGGTGTCAGTGTGAATCCTTTTATAGTCTGATGAGTCAAATAAAAAAAGATAATAAATGTATCAGTTTTATTAGTTACTGTTTCACCTGATTTTATCTGAACGCAGATAAAAAGTCCAGCAGACAGAAGGTTTAGAAAAACATCAAATCTTTATTATATTCATAGTTGTTATTATTAGAAGCATTTTCATGCTGATGAGAAGATACACTGAAAACCCCGAATGAGAAAATACTGAGAGAGCATGCAGTGAGGATCTGTTAGGAAGAAGATGTCGATGCTCCTTCTCTCCTGTTTCAGCGCCCGTCGGCTTTAAACACACTTTGAAAACAGGAGTGACGCACACACATGGACTAAAGTAACACACACGCACACTTTACAAAACCAGAGAACAAAAAGTACACTTAGTGAAGTTATCAAAATATAGGCTATATACTGTATAATCTTCAGACTCCGAATGTTGAAACGAGCAGTGCCGAGTTCGTTTCTGTGATTTCGACGTTACATCGTCAGACAGCCGTCACTTCTTTAAAGGACACCGACTCTCTCAGTTAACTACAAATCACAGTTTCCATTCCTGCTGATCCAAACGTGACTGATTTCCTTCCTTTAAGCAGCCGCTGGCGTCAGTGCAGCTCTGAAAATCTGCTTGCAGAGAAGTTGTGTTGCAAACAAGAGCTGAGCTGCTAAAACTGTCCAACGGCTCCCGGCTTCACATCAGGAGGAAAGAAATCACAGAGGCGACTGACAATAAACTCCTGACTCAGCTTCGTCTTGAGTTGTGGAAGATGAGAGACGATCGCCGTGTTTGTGCTCATACGACATAATAACAACGCTCCTCCAGAACCAACCGTGATCACGGATGCACTGATCGGATATTTGGGTTGTCTGTCAGTCTGACGCCGAACACTTCAACAAGTCGTTCAGCTGTATGTAGCTTACACCGCCCATCAGCAAGGGCCTGTCAGCTGTGGTGTAGCATGGAGGGAGCCAACAGGAAAGCAACTCTGAGGCTTTTCACACGTCCGATGCAAACAGCTTTTATTTGTGGATGATACAAACGTGCATGTGAGGAGCACTCAGACCGAGAGGACCAAAGGAAACGAAAGTAACAGACGCGACGCACAAATCAGTTCAACCAATGATATTTTGGTCTTCCAGACACTTGAAATACAAACAGATTTCCTGAATATCTGTTGTATTTGTGAGTCTTTAATAAGATAATATTGTCATAACCTTGTTTTTGTTTGGTTTCATCAGGGAAGCTGCCCTCTGGTGGACCAACGTCAACACTCATAACGAGGCTAACGGGAGTTTCTCTTCTTTGCTTTTAAATTTTCACTTTCAGGCTCCAGCTCCAGTAAAGATCACTGCTTCCTCATTCCAGACTGTTCCCGGGTCAGTCCTCGATATCAGCAGACACCCAAAGCCAGGCTACCACCCTGGAGCTGAAAAAGTTTGATCGGTGCATCCCTGATCACGATTCTCAGGACACATGTATTTAACGTCATCTCATCTTGTTGAAGTGTGGAGAAACGAAGCCAACGTGGGCGATGAAGGCATCAAACAGGATTTTCATTTGAAACCAAAAAGTTGAAGCATTTCTAGAACATTTTTAATTTACAGTCACATTTTGGTTTCGATTAGGAGAAGATGATGGCTACGACGTGACGGAGTTTCAGTGGCTGAATCTCGACAAGGATGCAAAATTTCAAACATTCCTGCTGCCTCAAAGTAAGGAAACCAATCTTAAAGTAAGGAAACCAATCTTAAAGTAAGGAAACCAATCTTAAAGTAAGGAAACCAATCTTAAAGTAAGGAAACCA